AGTTCTGAGAACATTGCGTGGCACATAGTAGGTGCTCGATAAATATCTGTTAAATGAATGAATGATGAATGGGATGATAGTGTCTGGCCAGGGGCTAACAACTCCATGACTATATGTGCACTCTCCCCTCCAGTTCCCCAAGGAGGAAAAGAGGCAATGGAATGGGCAGAAAGAGTCTCCTGCTCTAAAGGGCACAGCTGAGGGTCTTGACGTTTACTGAGAGGACATCCTTCACGGGAGCAAGGCTAGGGAAGGAAGAGGGCAGCAGTGGCCGATATCTTTGGGAGCCAGCAAGAGGTAGAAAGAACAGATGATTTGCATGTATTGCTGGGCCAAGCTCTTCACCTCTCTGAGCCTCAGCTTTCTCATCTGTGTTGGGAGAAAAAAAAAGCTGCAAGGATTCAATGCAATAATGGCATCTCCCATAGGGCCTGGCGCCCAGCTGGCATTTAACAAGGGTCCAGTGAATTGGACTGCATTGAACTAGATGTCCTGCTTCGATGCTGGAAGGAAGCAACTTTAAGGCAATCAAAAGTAGCGTAACTTCCATAACATGTAATGTTGCTTCACACCCCTGGGCTTCCACACTTCCTGCCTCTGCCTAGAACCCATTTCCCCTTTTGTGTGTGACAGAAACTACCTCTAATGTACAGATTTCCCTGATGTGCTCAAAGGAAACTCACCTTTTCCCTGCTGCACTGGAACTCACATCCATCACAGCCTGTCATCAGTCCTTGGCACATATTTTTGTGTCCACCTCTCCTGTGGGCTCTGAGCTCCCTGATTCAATATTCACTCAACAAACATTCATTGAGCACTATGCATTATAGAATGGCCCTGCAATTCATTTTTGTACCTCTAGGGTTTGGTATACAAACAGTACTCAATAAATACCAGTTGAATGTATAAAACAGTGAAAAGAATACGAACATTAGCAGCCTGCAGACTTAGTTTTGAGCCCAGGTTCCATCACTTTTCAGGGTGCGACTTCAGGCAGATCACCTCATTTCTTTCTGCTGGTTTTCCCTGTTAGGTAGGACACATTCGGCGGGGGGGCAAAAGTAGGTTTATAGTTGTGAGCACACAAAACACAGAGTTTATTCTTACATTATTATTTATTAATTATTGTATTATTTTTCCATAGGAACAACTGTAAACCTTCTTTTACCCCACCCTATACTAGTATCTCAGTTGGAGTGTCCTGCGAGGCAGCAGATCGGCAGCACAGGGCATGGAGCTGAGTGCTATACGTTCTTTCCCCTTTCATTATGGGATGTTTAGATGTTTGGGATGCACTGTGCCTGGTGAGGATGATGAAGATGAAGGTCTTCCTACGGAGCACAGTTGGGATGAAAAAATTTGACAGTATCACATGTCAGTGAGGTTGTGCTGGTGGAAAAGTAAACTGGGACACTTGGAGGACAATTTGGCAGTCACTATCCCCGACTGTGCGTACCCTCGTGTCTCAGTCTGCCTGGGAGGCTGTGACAGAGCATCACAGGCTGGGAGGTTTAAACAGTGGACTTTTATTTCTTGCAGTTCTGGGGGCTGGGAAGAACCCAGTTGGTGGCAAACCCCAGTGTGTTTTTTGTCCACATGAGATCAAGGTTCCAGCACGGCTGGGCTCTGTGAAGGCCCTCTTTCTGACTTGCTGATGGCTGCCTTCTTGCTGTATTCTCACATGGCAGAGAGAGAGAGAGCGAGCACGCTGTCTGGTCTCTTCTTATAAGGGCATTAATCTCATCACGAAGACCTCACCCTCATGACCTCATGACAACCCGATTACTTCCCAAAGGCCCCACTTCCAAATGCCATCACACTGGGGGTTAGGACTCAGACATAAGAATTTGGGGGGGGGGGCAGGGCAGAAACATTTAGTTCCTAACACCTAGTAATTTTACTTCTGGGTGTTTACTTTTAAAAACTCTCACACATGTACACAAGGAGACACATACAAGGGTGCATGCACCCCTTGTCTGTTTGTAATGGCCAAAAGTTGGCCAAACCTAAATGTTTAGTAAAGGCTCATGGGAGCTAAACAGGGATGGCCTCAACTTATATGTATCAATGTGGATAAATCTCAAAAACATATTGAGATAAAAACATAATTTGCAGAAAAAATATACAGGTTGATGAAAAAGCACAGAATCATAATATACCTTTTTGTGTGTATGTATGTACAACACATGGCTGGTTGTTCCAACCAAAAGTAGGGTCCCTGCTAAAGGGCCCCGGAGTTTCATTGTTGTTGCCCATCCCCAAATCCAGAGCTGATCCTTCTTACCTTCTAAGCCTCAGCTCAGGGGTCAGTTTTCCAGGACGCTGTATCGAACACCCAACCACCCAAACTTTCAGGTCAGAACCTGGCTTACTGGGCTCTGTATTATAGCCCTAGTCCCTTGTTTTCTATCTTTCTAAGCATGTCCCTCACCTAATCAAGTATTTGAGACCATGCTTAATTCTTCCCTCTATCCTCAGGGATACAGAATTTTAGGGATCCTCCCCTCCTCCTTGGTGGGGTCTCTGGTGGAGGCCAGACAGCCTCTAGGGGAAGAGAAAACCGTGGGGTTCTAGCTCCACCCAGAACCCAGTTGGTGGCAAACCCCAGTGTGTTTCTGTTTGTCCACATGAAAAGCAATCACTACTCACCTTCACAAAAGTGAAGGGTGGAGCTGCTTCCAGCGCCTCTCCATTTCTCCATCTGTAAAATGGGAACAGTGAAGCTTCAGGGCTTTGAAGTTATTTTGAAAAATTTGGGCACAAGGATTCCCAAACTTCAGTGAAGTAGCTGTGAGTGAGTGAGTGAGCAAGTGAGTCTGTGCCTAGGCACAAAACATAGAGAGTTAATTCTCCCTTAATTTCTCTGTTTCCTTATTGCCCACAGGAGTATCCTGATATTGTAGGGTGTCTTTCCAAAGAAGGAAGAGCTTGTCCCAGGATGTACAGCTATGAAGGGATAGAGTTGGGGCTTGAGTTCAGATTTGGCTGCAAGTTGAATTCTCTTTGTCTCTAAGCAAAGTCCCTATTTTGGGTGTTTTAATAGAGACAAAGCTTGTTGTTGCCACTGCCTTGCCTCAGACCTCTCACCTTTAGATTGAAAAAAAAAAAACAACGGACTAGATCAGTGGTTCCCCATTTACTCTGTAGACTTCTGTCATTAGAATTACCTGTGGAGCTTCATAAAAAAATATTTGGTCATGCACAGTGGCCAGGAACTCTTACTCAGTTGATCTAGAGCAGGGCTCAGAAGCCTGTGCCTGAAGAAATCTTCCAGGTGATTCTGATATGCAGCTTAATTTGAGACCCTGAGCAGCAGAGCTTCTCCATCTTCAATGTGCATGGGAATCGCCTAGGGCTCTTGTTAAACACAAATTCTGTTTCAGAAGGACTGGGGAGGGGCCTGAGCGTCCACATTTCTAACACACTCCCACGTGGTGCTGATGCTGCTGGTTTGAGCACCACAGTTTGAGTAGCAAGACCCTAGATCATATTGGACAGTGTTTCCAGCTCTGACATCTTAGGATTCTAGTTTTCTGGAGGGTTCTCAGAGCTTCTTCCTGCTAGCTCCTTTCTCTCTGCTGAAATCTTCCTTTGACTCATCCTTTCTCTCTAGGCTCCACTGTACTCATGAGCACATGTAAGTCTGCTGAGGCTGGCCTGGCATTGCTCAATATGTTGCTTGCCCATTTCCTATCAAGTTTGTGTTCTTAGCTCATTCTTCCCCAGCTCACAGACATTGGATATGTCTTGGTCCAGACACCAGCTGCTGTCACCATGATGGTGTGGGGTTGTTGGGTTGGTTGGATACCCAGAAGGTGGAGGTGGGTGGGGAAGAGCAGCTGCAGACAAGCCTTTGCGGGGAGACAATAGGGACATGCCCCATCTCAGAGGTATGAACAGGGGTTCTTATACTCTTCTTGGACCCTGAGGGAATAGCCTCTTTCTGTTTTCCTCCTGACTCCTCTTTCCCTCCCCTCTCTCCTGAACTCCATAGAGACTCTCTCTCCACATCCTCTGGGGACTCCATGACAGCTAGTGGCAAGGGACTGCCAGAGAAGACTCACTGTTTGGTGCCTGGAGAGAATGGAAAAGTTTGGCTGAGCGGGTCCCCAGGCTCTACATGGGGAAGACAGTCATGCATCTTGATGAGGGGAGTCTCTTTGTCTCACTTTCCCCGCCCACTCTTTGGGACTCGATGTTTTTATTATGCTTTATTATCTTCTACACAAACACATATTCTTTTTTCTTTTATTTTAAGAAGGGATTTTTTAAATATATTTTAGACATTTACTGTAATGACATGAATGAGTTCTCAGTTGGAGAAAAAAATAAGAGTTTAAAAAGTAAAGAATAAAAACTGGTCACAACTCACAAATAAGAAATGAAATCACCTATCAGAGACAGAGATCTAATCCCAGACATGTGACAGTAGACAAATCTCTGAATCTTTCTGTGCCTAGGATTCTTTTCTAGAATATTCTTGCCCTTTCACACCACACACAGATTCTGCGTACTTGGTGTCATATTCTCCATGTTAAGACCAATGAGTGAGTTTCTTTCAAGGCAGGGTCAGAATTGGTCCCTGAAGCCTAGTGACTTGACTGAGGTCCTGACCTGCCTAGACTTGCCATCATTTATTATCAGGGACAACTTCATCATCTGACACTATGCTCCTATTGGGTTTCCTCCTAGAAGCCAAGAGTTTGCTGGCATTTTTGGTGTTCCCAATTCTGGATAGAATCTGCTTAGAAACATATATCTGCTCACCAAGTCACCCCATAGGGACTGCTGGTCACTCACTCCCTCTAGGCTACAGTCTTGTCCTTGGCTTGTTGGTCCAATTCCAGTCCTGCAAAGTCAGAATCTTCATTTTATTGCATCTGCTTGTAAGGCTAAGCATCCATCCTGTCGTCAATGTGAGTCTTTCAAATTGCCAGTGGTCAAGTCCCTGGAACAAGACCTATTGAAAAAGACTTGGCTTCCACTCTGGGGAAGGATTTTTATGGGGTGGAACATCTTGCCCAACCGAAGAGTCTCCACGAAGCCCTTTTCATGTCCCTGTTCCTCAGGCTATAGATAAAGGGGCTCAGGATGGGGGTCACCATTGTGTATATCACAGGTGCCACCATTCCAGGGTCTGCTGAATAGGAGGATGAGGGATGGAAATACACCAGAAAGAGTGTCCCATAGAAGAGAGTGACCACTGACAGTTGAGAGCCACAGGTAGAGAAGACTTTGTGCTTCCTCCAAGCAGAGGGTACCCTGAGGATGGCATCGGTGATGTGGGCATAGGAGACCAGGACACAGGTGACACAGACCACACCTGAAAGGGCGGCTTCAGTGAACATCATTACCTGAAAGATACGAGTGTCTGAACAGGCCAGTTTGAGGAATGGGAGATGGTCACAGGGTACAAAGATGGAATGGGGGGCACAGAAAGAGAACTGAAATATCAGGAGAGTGAGTGAGAAGGCCAAGAGGTGGGAGCAGAGCCAGGATGCAGCGACCAGCCCCAGGCAGCATTGGAGACACATGATTGTGGGGTAGCGCAGAGGAAGACAGATGGCCACATGGCAGTCATATGCCATCACGGCCAGCAGAAAGTCATCCAGCAGGGCCAACGCCATGGAGAAATACATCTTCATGAGGCACCCAGTATGAGAGGTGGAGTGGTGCTGTGTATGGATGTTCACCAGCACCTCGGGGACAATGGAACAGGAGAAGCAGGTATTGAAGGACAGGTTGGCCAGGGAGAAGTACATGGGGGTGCGGAGGTGCTGGTCAGCAGCTATGGGCAGGATGATGAGTAGGTTCCCCATCAGGGTGACCAGGTACATGCCCCAGAAGAGTCTGAACAAGAGGGGCTTCTGCCATGGGTGTTCAGAGAAGCCCAGGAGCAAGAAGTTTAGAGACACCATTTGACTTTCTAATTTCCTTTTAAGGCAGAAAAATTAGAGAATGATCTTGTTTAAATAAAGATAGGCTCTAGATATTACAGAGTCCAGGGGCTGTGGTCTGTTTTTCTCTATTCCTTGAAGAGGTCACTGAGATTCAGTAGTGGCTGTAACTGCTGGTTTGCACATATGTACAAATATGAGGGCAATGAACTATGATAATGAGGCACCGGTGTGGAGATGTAGTTTGGGTTCTAGATTCCTGCAGGTTTTCCCCATGGATTGTTTGAATGACACTGAACTGAGATTCACCTGAAAGAATGTCTACAAATGTAATTCCCTTTTTAAAAAACTTTAGAACAACTTTAGTCTTAATTTCATCATCTTAGTGGGGAGCTCATTTTGGGGTTATGCATACACTAGGATTTATTCTGCAAAACAAAGTGCTCATTGTGTATGTTTGTGAGTGCGTATTTGGGGAGATGAAACCAGGAGCCAGCTTAGACTTAGGGATCTCTAGGTGGGCTGGGAGTGCTCTGGCCCCCTTTGGTGTTGAAGGTTATTCCAATTAGTGTGGTTATGAGAATGTTGCAAACTGAAAAGCACTTTATGATATGGGCATATCATTTTCATTTTAATCATCAATATCACCATCAACATCTTTTATTTAGTATCTGGGCTTTGGCATCCTGATTTTGGGATGAAAATCCTTCCTCTGTTCCTTATTCTCAGTCTGACCTTGGTCGACTACTTAACTCTGAATCTCTGTTTCCTAGTTTGTAACCATGTGTAACTACTTCATAGAATCATGAAAGTTATTATCACAGTAACACATATGGAGGGCACACTACGCTGCTATTAAGGGGAGTGGTGTGATTGTCACGATCAGCAGTAGTTGATGAACTGTGAACCTGGGACACACGATGTAGTGGAGAAGCATCAGATGACTTGCTTTACAGTTCTTTTCCTCAGTGCTTTTTGAACTTGGGGAATGTTTACTCCTTCTGACCCTGGCTTTTCTCATCTGTAAGACAGAGATAATAACCCAACCTGATAGGCCTGCGGAAGAAACCAAATTCTGGAATCAGTTGAAGTTCATTCATGAACCATGATGTGCAATCGAGATGAGAAATTCCAGCATTGCTGTGTGATGGTGTGGAGGAATAAATGTGACGAACTGTCAGTGGCAGCGTGGGCTCATGTCCTGTTTGTTTAGTGTCATCATTAAAAATATCACACACCCTCCAGAATCTGACAGAATTTTCCCACTCTACTCTTGATGTGACCCTGAAAAAGTCACATGACCCTTTTTTGGGATTCAGTTTCTACAGATGTTTAAATGGGATAAAAATAGGGTTTACTGTATAGAATGGTTGTGATAATTAAATGAGATTTAAAAATGATCGTATAATATTTAGACCAAGCTGGCACATAGTAAGTGCTCAATAACATGATCTGTTATTGTTACTGCTGTTTTAAATAAAATGAGGGTGCTTTGTCATTGCGTCAGTACCTGCAGGTTGGGCTTGTAAGTTGTGAGATGTCAGTACTAAAAGTTGTCTTCGTCGTCATCATCATCATCATTATCAACATCACCTTTGACGGATTATGACTACTCAAAACTGTCCATGGCAAAACCTTTGTTTTGGCATCTGGAAACCAAGTATAAACTTGGATAAATTCATAAGAGCCCCTCCCCCACATTATTAATCATATAATGGGAGTAAATAAGTATATCTTATGTGCTGGCTCAAATTTCAAGAAAAAGAAAGGATGTGAATGAGGTTAGTAAACTTTAAGTGGATGTAGAGGAGTTGATTACCAGGTATTGACCTTGTGCGGTGATTGAGAGTGATTCTGGGAACCATGCCCATCTGAGTGGACTGAGAGTGAATTATGCTTTGTTTTTGCACAAGTGTTATGTCCCGGTTACTGATAGGGTCTGGGGAAGGGTGGTCTGAGGCCCATTCTCCACAATGTCTTCTGTCTGGTCTGTCAGAACACCAGACAGATGTGATGAACACCAGGACTAGACGCCCCTCATGGTAATCAGAAGAGCCAGAAAATGATTGACAGACATGGATGTAGGAAAGAAAAGGGAAAAGGAAAAAGGGGGAAGCTCTATGCTCTGTGTGTGTGTGTGGGTGTGTGTGTGCATGCGCGCCTGCACATGTGCTCATGTGAGCCTTAGGTAGACTCGGCTCTCTTTCTCCATCCCTTTGCCTCAGTTCTTACCTGGAAACGCTGGCCAGACTCAGCCTCTGACACTTCCAAAGAGCAGACTGCGTTTCCTATCTCATTGTCTTCCCAAGAAGTCATGGCTGGAGCACCAGAGCCCTTCCCTGCCTGTAGGAATAGCTCAGACTGAAGGCTCAGGTCTTCAATGATATCTCAGGCACAGGAGCCAGGAGGAGCTGCTGACTTTCTCAGGCAGTGTCTCCTGGGACCCATGCTTGGACCTCCTTGCTAGAAACAAACAATTGTCCAACCCCCAACTCTTTCCTCTAGACTGTGGCCTTGAGTTCCAGCAGTGACTCTGATGACTCCATTCAGAATGATAAGAGCTGGGGTCCGCGGGAGTGCTCCTGGTCTTTCCCTTAGGTGAGGTGCAGTTCGGCTCCCTCCGTCCAACCTTAACCCTGAATAAGCCCTATCTCTTTTATGAAGTCTGCTCTATCTAATTAGAGTCCAGTCTTCGGGAGTGAAATACATTATGTCCTAGAAAATAAATAAAGATAAACTTGGTCAGAGGTCACAATCATTGCCTTCAAATGTCATGTACAAGAGACAACATTCATTTTTTTATGACCCCAGAGAACAGAGAGATGAATAATATGTAGACTCTAAGGCCCGGGGTGTGATTCTGGATTTATTTTTGCTGTAAATATATCTTGCATACAAAAGAGCGTATAAAATGCATTTGTGCTGTTTAAAGAATAACAACAAAATTCATACCCATTCTTCCGCCACTCTGCTTAAGCAGTACATGGTTCAACCCTCTAGAAGCCTCGTGTGGTCCTCTTTCAAATCATCTGCCTTGTTGGGGGCGGTCACGGGGAGAACGTGGTGGAGGGCTGGCCTGAGAGCTGCTTCCGGGCAGTCAGCGGCGCGTCACCCCGCCCCCGTCTCCAACCGGAAGTCCTTCGCGCCGCTCCCACCACGGGAGCCCTTTCAAGGACGCAGCCTTGAGAGAGCCGCGTGGTGTTGAGACCATCTGGACCGTAAGTGTGACTCAACCCCATTAAAGCCCCTGGGTAAACTTGAAGACTCCGGCGGGCAAGTGCGGAGACCCCGTCGCCTTGCGGCGCCCGAGATGAGCCTGGTAAACTCTTTTGCTTCTCAATCTGCCTCCTGCCGACCTGGAGAGGCCTGGCTGCCGGCCGGCGCTCAGCGTCCTCCGTGGTCCGGGACGCTTTGCCCTCTGACACACGTGTGTGTCTACAGTGTACGCGGTAGTGGTTGGATTTGCCTCTTTTTGTCCTTTTTTCTGAAAGGAATTACACTTTTTGTAATCTTCCGTAAATTGCTTCTTTTGCTCAACATTATTCATTGAGCTTTATTCATGTGGATACACGTAGCTGAAGGGCATTTGGGTCCACAGTTGTCTTGTAGAGGTCGCCGCTGCTCATTATAAACTTGCATCCCCTGCAGGATTTCAGATTGCAGAACTTTTAGGATTTGGGGTTCTATGTATGTTGTCTCCGATTCCTCAGCAGTTTCTGCGGGAGCTCTCCGTAATCAAACACATAGTATTTCCACAACGGAACGAGTGAATAGTCACACTAAGTTCAACTGATACAGACTATTAACAGCTTCATGTAAATTCAGGTCATGTTTTCCTGCTAAATGAGCTCACTGTAAACCTTACCATAATGAATATTATACCAAGTATGATGAACACATATTCTTAAATAGCCACATGTCACTCCACATGCTACAAAATGAGTTTGCTGAAACTCTGAAATTCCTTCATCAATTTTTGGATTTTAAGATTGCACCTATGGCACTGTGGACTTACAGTGCATTGTGGAATTGTATCATAGTATATTTGTTCATTCTAACGTTGGTGGACATTTGAGTTTGTTGCCAGGTTTTTGACACTTTTTTGAAGAACTGTTTATTCTCTTAAGTAAAACTTCTCCTATTCTCATTTTTAAAAATGAAAAAAGAAAAAAATGCCCTGGCCAGTGTGGCTCAGTTGGTTGGAGCATCATCCCAGAAACTGAAAGGCTGAAGGTTCCTTGCACATGCCTGGACTGCATGTTCCATTCCCAGCTGTGGCATATATGAGAGGCAACAGATCGATGTCTCTCTCTCTCACGTCAATGTTTCTTTCCCTCTCTTGCCCTCCCCTTCCCCCTCTCAAAAATCAGTAAGCACGTCCTTGGGTGAGGATAAAAAAAATGTTATTTGACTAAATTGGCCTGGTCTCTGTTATTCATTTTTTTTTAACTCAGAGTTTGCTGTATTTCAAAAAACTAATTCTTTTTTAAATTACTTTTTATTGTTATTTGGTTACAGTTGTTCTAACTCCTCCCCACCTTTGCAATGGACAAATTTCTAGAAATGTGCAGTCTTCCAAAACTGAATTATTTCTTCTTTAAAAAACTTTTCCACCGGGAAATTGGAGAAACGTTTTAGTCAACCATTCTCTAAAGAGAACATATCTACAATAATGATCATTTATCATTTCTTTGTTCTATTATTGATATATTTTTTAAAGGTTTTATTTATTTATTTTTAGAGAGGGGAAGGGAAGGAGACAGAGAGGGAGAGAAACATCAATGTGTGGTTGCCTCTCATGCGCCCCCTACTGGGGATCTGGCCTGCAACCCAGGCATGTTCCTTGACTGGGAATTGAACCAGTGACCATTTGGTTTATGGGCCAGCACTCGATCCACTGAGCCACACCAGCCAGAGCTGTTACTGATATTTTAATGGTACCTCAAGAGTTATTATTTCAATAGCTAGAGGACTTGTATTCAACTTTAGGTCCTGCTATCCACAACCTTATGATCCATAAAATCTGCTAGTTGTAAAAACTTGATGTAGTAATCAAGGCAAAGGGGTTCCAGGGAGCATATATAATATCTTACATTACCATTGCTGTTGACAATAACATAATCAGGGAAGGATTAATTAAGCAACAAGTTTACACTTACGCATTTGTATGTCGTTAGGGTTGTGTAACCGTCATTAATGCTGATCACCAAATGCCTTTGGCTCTCCATTTTACAGATACACTGTTGGATTGTGCCTTGGGCTCCATTTTGTTGGGCGGGGTTATGAGATTAGCTGGGGACAATGAGTTGTGGTCTGAAGTGTTATAAGTCACTTCTGAACCTGAGTGTTTATTTCTCACAGCAAAATCTTCGAGCCTTTCACAGCTCCTGACAGAGTGATGATTAATGTTTACAAAGGTGACTGCTCCATCAGCATTGGTCCCTGAGTGTTTAAAATGAGCAGCATCCTTATATTTTTTTTATGGTGGACATGCAGTGTGAATAAAAAATTGACCTTTGGTTTTAAGTTCCAAAGATTTTTGGGATTGTTTGCTTCCACAGCACAACCTAGCCTATCCTGACTGATACACATTGCTTACCCCAGGTTATGAGGGTCATTTCAGTGAGGATTCTGGCCATGTGGAGAAAGGAGGAATTAGAGGAAAGAGAAAGGAGTCAAGTACTGAGTATTCACATTGTGACTCTACTTTGGTTTTGGTAGAGTTTACATCTGCTTGCTATATTCTATCTTTCCAGTGTTATTCTTCCTGCTCTCTAATTGAAAAAGGCATACAGGGCTTTTCACTGCTTCTCAAACACAATACAGTATTTCTTTTAAAATATATTATTTATTTATTTTTACAGAGAGAGAAAGGGAGGGAGAAAGAGGGGAAGAGGAAGATCGATGTATGAGAGAAACATCAAATGGTTGCCTCTCTCACATGCCCCAACTGGGGACCGGGCCTGCAGCCCAGGCACATGCTGCCTGGGAGAGGAACCAGCAACCTTTTGGTTTGCAGGATGATGCTTCAACCAACTGAGCTACACTGGTCAGGGCACAATCCAGTATTTATTGCCTCTGCCTACTTGGGTGACTTTCACTGTTTGAAATGCTCTGTCCGTTTCCTTGTCAAACGAACTTTGATCTGTACAAATTCAAACCAGCCTTAAGGACAATCTTAGTTCATTCCTCAAAGAGTCTGCCAGTCCCTGACCAAATCCACCCAATTTCTTATTCTAAAAACTAATTGAACTTTAGAATTCCTTGAGGGCTAGCTGCTGTAAAACTTACAGAAAACCTACTTGGAGACAGCCTTATTCTACCATCTGGGTGGAAGAAACTGTTTCCCTAAAATCTAGATTCCTAGCAATACATAGTCTGGGATTAAACATATATTTCGTCAAGTTCACTGATAGACACCAAGTGTTCTAGCTTCCTGGTCAGTGCTCTTCCTGCTTATTCAACACCACCTGTCGTGATCTCTGTGGGTGCCATGTGACAAACCTCAGGAAAGAGGATAACCTATCATCTCTTAGGTCATCTCTCAATTATGATATCCTGTTGTCTTGTTCCTTCTACGAGTGAATTCTGTCCCTTAATTTCCTCAAACCCCTCTTCATATCTTTGTTTCTAAAGCTGTAGATAAACGGGTTCAGCATGGGTATCACTACTGTGTACATAACTGTGGCTATCCGGTCCCGCACCACTGAGTACATGGAGAGAGGCCTGAAATAGACATAGATGGCACTCCCATAGAACAAGATTACTACAGTGAGGTGGGAGCCACAGGTAGAGAAGGCCTTCCACTTCCTGGCTACAGAGGAGATTCTGAGTACAGTGATGATGATTCGTAGGTAGGAGAAGAGAATGCATAGAAATGGGGTTGCGACAACTGTGAGGGTCTCGGTCATGATGACAGTCTGGCTGGAGGAAGTGTCAGAGCAGGATAGCTTTAGCACAGGCTGAGTATCACAAAAAAAATGCTTGATGACATGGGAGGCACAGAAAGACAGGCGGGACATGAGTAGCACACGGAGCAGGGCGTGCAGGTGGGAGATGGTATAAGAACCCAGCAGCATGAAGAGGCAGCATCGTGGGTTCATGACCACATCATAATGGAAGGGGTGGCAGATGGCTACTAGCCGGTCTATGGCCATAGAAGCCAGCAGGTAGCTGTCAGTATTTGCAAATGCCATGAAAAAGTACATCTGGACCAGGCAGCCCACAAAGGAGATAGACTTTGTCTCTGACAGTAGATTCACCAGCATCTTGGGCATAATGACCGTTGTTAAGCAGATATCCATGAAGGATAGGCTTCTGAGGAAAAAGTACATAGGTGTATGGAGCCGGGAGTCACAGTAAGTGACCAGGATGATGAGTACATTTCCTACTACAGTGACCAGGTACATGACAAGGAAGATGACAAAGAGGGGTTTCTGCAGTTGAGGGTTGCAAGAGATGCCCAGGAGAATAAATCCTGAGGTGCTGCTGCTGGAGTTCTTTGTCTCCATGTCTCTTGCCTCCTGGACAGGGTTGGAGAAGCAATAGAAGTGACGTGAGTGGCAATTTGATCAAGACAGCTTCTTCCCTAACCTCTAGCCTATAAAAAAGCCCACTGTAATTTGTTAGGATTTTAGAGATTATTTACTTCAAGAAACTACAGAAGAACAGGGAGTAAAATCCCACCAGGGAAAAGTTTGAAAATTCAAACTTGCTTCCTAGGTGAGAAACTAAAGTTTTCTCATGTGTTCTTAGGACTTTCTATGTAGCTTAATTTGTTTGAGTTCTTTTCCATTCTCTTTTTAAAGATTCTTCTGAGGTTGTTTTCTGACCAACTCCTTAGCCACTTATTTTTAATTGCAGGGGAAGAGGCTTCTGGGTCTCACCTTTAGTCAGGATGCTTTCAAAGGTGGAGTTCAAGCGAATGAGATCCTCTAAGTAGGGTCCTCTCCTGCTGATAGTTCCAGAAGTCATGGGAGTTGGGACAGGACACAAGTGAGCATCAGATTTAATCGGTGCTGATGTCCACAGAAGTCAGATGAGAATTTTTAAATCTTCAGAAAAAATCTGCTTAATATGTATTTAAATATTTCTGTTTGACCAATATAATCTGGCCACTTAAATGATAACGCTTTGGTTTAGGGATGTCACTCAAAGTAGGAGTGTTGCCAGGAATAGCCTATTTTACTGAAATTAATTATTTAAATATATTAATTTTAATGATAAAAACTATGAAATTTTCATTATAAACATTCAAAATACTAGAATAGTGGGAGGGGGCAAGGGAAAGGGGGGGGAAGGCAGAGACAAATGTATTTAAAAAGTAAATAAATTAATTAAAAAAAAAAGTATACCTAAATAAATTCACAAACAAATTTCATACTTTAAAACAACAACAACAACAAAAAAAAACAACTTTGAATATAAAAGTATGATTCCCACCAATATCATGGGAAAGACAAGTCAGGATGGCCTCTCTTACCATTATTGAGCTGCATTGCTCTGATAGTAGTCTAAGCCAATGAAAAGGCAAAATTAAACAAATAGGCATAAACATTAGATAGAAAAAATTGTCATTTTTAAGTGACTCGTAAATCTAGGAAAGTGCTAATACACTTCTGAAGACTTTAAACATATGAAGATTTCACCAAAATGGCCAGATACAAGATAAATATACAAATATTAATACTTTTCTTATATTAGGACAAGGCATGAAGGAAAAAATTTCAGTTGACAATGACAGGAAGTTTAAAAAGTACTTAGGAATAAACCTAAAAAGGAAAGTAAAAAGAAATGTGAAAGATCTATCTGAAAAAACTGTACAAGAATACAAAGTTATGATATGAATAAATGGAGATATTCTACTTCTAAAAAGGGAGGATTCAGTATTAAAGAATGTCATTTAACTAATAGCATTACTTATATAGTAGTTTTTTCTTTGTGATTTATTTGACTTAGCATAGTGCCTTCAAAATCCATCCATGTATTGGAAATGACAGGATTTTCTTTCTCATGGCTGAATCTAAAAAAGACAAACTCATAGACAGATTGTAGAATGGTGGTTGCCAGGAATGGGAGATGAGTGAAATGGGGAGATGTTGGACAAAAGGTATAATCTTCCAGTTACATGATGATTAAGTTCTGGGGACCTAGTGTAGAGCTTGGTGAATAAAGTTAACAGTAGTGTATTACATATTTCAAGTTTGCCAAGAGATAGATATTTATTTATTTTTATTGAGATATAATTGATATATATACCACTGTCAGTTTAAAGGTGTACAAAATGTTGATTTGATACATTTATATATTGCCGTATGAATGACCAGTGTGGCATTAGCTAACAACACATATATTATGTCACATAATTATATTTTTTTGCGGTGGGAACCATTAATATCTAGTCTTTTAGCAACTTTGAAGTTCATAGTATAGAATTGTCTACAGTCACTATGCTGTGCAATAGATCTCTAGGATTAATTTATCTACTCATCAGAAGTTTGTACCTCAGAACAACACTTCCTCATTTCCCCCACTCACCCTCCCCAGCCCCTGGTAACTGCAGTTTCTTCTTAAGAGAGTAGATCTTAAACATTCTCATCACATAAAAGAAGTAATAATTATGTAAGGTGATGGAGTTATTAACTAACCCTGTTGTGATAATCATTTGCAGTATATAAATGTATTAAATCATCATGTTGCACACCTTAACTTCACAATTACATCTCAGTTAAGCTGGAAAAAAGCCAATTTTTAAAAAATTATACAATTTGCCTGGCTGGTGTGGCTCAGTGGATTGAGTGCCGGCCTGTGAACCAAAAATTATACAATTTAATGCACTTGCAATACCACTGCAAGGGTTTTTATTTTTTTAATGTGTTGAATATCTTACTAGATCGGAATATTTTAGATTAATCCTTTAAAACAACTTTCCAACCTGTTGATCATCTTCACCTTAAACTTTATTTTCACTCACAAGAACTCAGAGTTGATTACAAAATAAACAAAAAACTTGCTACATTTCAATAATACAAGTTTATACTAATCTACCTAGCTTTATTAAAATAATACTGTATTTTAAAAGTTACTGGCCAGTTTGAATTGTAGCATCCTGTGCATCATTTCTCCATATATACATCTAAGCAATGTAAAATAATGATACTCCAAAGGAATTTTTAATTCTGAAATTCATCTAGTGGAGTAAATGGCTAAAGAAAGACAAAATAATTTAGAAAAAATTTAGAATAAAAACAGAGAACTTTTCTAACTTAAAAAATCAAGGTACTTAAATAGGCTTCCAGCCAAGATAGAGGCATGGGTAGATACACTTTGCTTCCTCTCACAACGAAAAAGGTAACAAACAATTTAAAAACAAAAATCAACCAGAACTGCCAGAAAATTGAACTATATGGAAGTCCAACAACCAAGGAGTTAAGAAGAAACATTCATCCAGACTGGTAGGAGGGGCAGAGACAGGCAGCTGGGGCAGAGAGGACACTGGTCAAGGTGGTGGCAGGTGGACCGGGCAGTCCCATAGTTGTGTGCTGATCAACTGGGAAGAACAGCTGGGGAGCAAGACAAACTGTGCAATCCAGGGTTCCAGAGCTGGGCAAACAAGGCCTCAAAACCTCTGGCTATAAAAATCTATGGGGATTGTGGAAGCAGGAGAAACTGGTAGTCTCACAGGAGAGTCCATTGGAGAGGCCCATGGGGTCCTAGAATGTACACAAACCCACCCACCCAGGAATCAGCACCAGAGCAGCACCTTGAAGGGTGCAATTCACTTGCGGTTGTGGCAGAGGTGACTAAAAGTAGGGTGAGAGCCAATAAAACAGCATTGTTTCCTCTCTCATCCCTCCCCCACATGCAGTGCCACAGCTCACCAAAGTGGGTTGTCCCACCCTGGTAAATACCTAAGGCTCTGCCTCTTACAACATAACAGGTGCGCCGATACAAAAAAAATATGACCTAAATGAAAGAACAGATCAAAGCTCCAAAAATAGAACTAAGCAATGAAGAAATAGCCAACCTATCAGATGCACAGTCCAAAACAGTGGTAATCAGGATGCTAACGGAATTGGTTGAGTATGACTGCAAAATGGAGGAAAAAGTGTAGGCTATGCAAATTGAAATAAAGAAAAATTTATAGGTAACCAACAGTGAAGGGAAGGAAACTGGGACTCAAATCAACGATTTGGAGCGGAAGGAAGAGATAAACATTCGTTCAGAACAACATAAAGAAACAAAAATTCAGAAAAACGAGGAGAGGCTAAGGAACCTCTGGGACAACTTTAAATGTTCTAACATCCAAATCATGGGTGCCAGAAGGAGAAGAGGAAGAACAGAAAATTGAAAACTTATTTGAAAAAATAATGAAAGAAAACTTCCCCAGTCTGGTGAGGGAAATAAACGTACAAGTCCAGGAAGCTCAGCGAGTCCCAAACAAGTTGGACCCAAAGAGGAACACGCCAAGACACATTGTAATTAAATTGCCCAAGATTAAAGATAAGGAGAGAATCTTAAAAGCAACAAGAGAAAAGGAGAGAGTTACCTACAAAGGGGTTCCCATAAGACTATCAGCCGATTTCTGAAAAGAAACCTTGCAGGCAAGGTGGGGGGGGGGGGCCTGGAAAGAAGTGTTCAAAGTCATGAAAAGCAAGGCCCTACATCCAAGATTACTCTGTCCAGTGAAGCTATCATTTAGAATGGAAGGACACATAAAGTGCTTCCCAGATAAGGTGAAGTTAAAGTTGAGTTCATCACCAAGCCCTTACTATATGAAACATTAAAGGGATTTATCTAAGAAAAAGAAAATCAAAACGATGAACAGTAAAATGATAACAAACTCAGAACTATCAATAACTGAACCTAAAAAAACAAACTAAGCAAACAACTAGAACAGGAACAGGATCACAGAAATGGAGATCACATGGAGGGTTATCAGCAGGGATGGGGAGGGGGACAATGGGGGAAAAGTTACAGGGAATAAGAAGCATAATTGGTAGGTACAAAATAGACAGAGGGAGGTTAAGAATAGTATAGGAAATGGAGAAGCCAAAGAACTCATATGTATGACTCATGAATGAAGGCAGGGGAATGTTAGAGGGAATGGAGTACTGTGTGGAGGGGTATAAAAGGGAGAAAAAAAATGGGACAACTGTAATACATAATCAATAAAATATACTTAAGCAAATAAAAACACATGAATAAAAACAATACACAGAGAAAGACAAATCAATGGAACAACATAAATTTTGTGTATCAGTATTTATACACATATAAAGATCTTAAACTATATTGAGTCTAATATATAATACATATTGATTTCATTGCAATGTGGGGGGATGGATAATTAGATAAATAATATTTATGACAATTGGCTGAATCTTTGGAAAAATAAGGCTAGTTTTCTGTCTAGCCCACACATAAAATTATAATCCATATGAATGAACAATCTAAAAGTAAAAATTCCAAACTATAAAGTAAGTTTCCAAAAAAAATGAAGGAGCATATTTTAATGGTCTCAGTA